TGGCCGCCTTTTAAGATAGCTAGCTCTCAGACTCTGCTAGCTCAGTTTCATGTCTGCTAATATTTATTGGTTTGTTTATTTTCTTGTTATTTGGACAGTGCTCAGAGTTTACTGCTACCTCTGTGTTCAGGGATCATTCCTGGCATTTTTATAATTATTAAAAATTCCCCAATATAGGGAACCATATTGGGTGTCAGGGATCAAACCCAGGTGGCCTTGTGCAAGGGAAGTGCTCTACCTGTTGTTCTTCCTTCCTTTCTTTCTTTCTTTCTTTCTTTCTTTCTTTCTTTCTTTCTTTCTTTCTTCCTTCCTTCCTTTCTTTCTTTCTTCCTTCCTTCCTTCCTTTCTTTCTTTCTTTCTTTCTTTCTCTCTCTCTCTCTCTTTCTTTCTCTCTTTTTCTCTTTCTTTCTTTCTCTCTTTCTTTTTTTCTTTCTTTCTTTCTCTTTTTCTCTTTCTTTCTTTCTTTCTTTCTTTCTTTCTTTCTTTTTTTCTTTCTTTCTTTCTCTCTTTCTCTCTCTCTCTTTCTCTCTTTCCTTCTCTCTTTCTCTCTTTCTTTCTCTTTCTCTCTTTCTTTCTCTCTTTCTTTCTTTCTCTCTCTCTTTCTTTCTTTCTTTCTTTCTTTCTTTCTTTCTTCTTTCATTCTTTCTTTCTTTCTCTCTTTCTCACCCCGCAACTCTCCCCCCAAAATCAACAGCTTCTATCTTCTTCCAACACTCTGAAAGTCTACTTTTCCAGCGGAGATGCAGTGCTTATTTATAAGTTGAGTTGCGTATCTAATTTTGATTTGAGGATTTGGCACTTGCTTGTTTTTTAGGCCTCAGATCTTGCACATTCTCATCTTCAGTATATTACTTGATTGAAGGATCAACTTGTCCACAATTGCTCGACTTAGTAGTTATAACCCCATGTCTGTCTGAATATCGAATATCTGATCTTATTCCCATCACCATGTCTCATGTCCTTCTCATTGTGGTGACCTTGTCACTATTTTCTACATACTTTTTTTTGCTTTCTTACTAGGCCTTCCCCACTAATTAACCAGTGATTGAACTTCCTTAGGCTTATTCAGTATGGATCTCCCACTTTCTTTCTCATTTCTCTCCTTCTCATTTCTTACTCATTCCATCACCTAGGTCTCGGAATCACTTAGGCGGAAGACTTTGCATTTCTTTGGGAGTTAACAATTGCCTACTGCCCCCTGTTACTTTCTCTGTCCTCCAGCATGTAGCTTCCTCTTGGCACCAGTCACCTTGGCCTCCTCCTAGTTGATTCCATGTTCCCAGAACTTTCGCATGACCTTCTTTCCCCTCTAAGTACTTTTCCAAGAGAAATCCTTTAATGCTCACTTGGAGCAATTCCCATTAGTCCCTACACCAAGTCTCACTGGAGTAGAACGCACACCTGTCTCTGCCTTTCCCATTTACAGGGCTGCTTCTATTGTTGATTTGACTGCTGATTTTCCTTTTTCCCTTGTAAATTTCTTGATGAATAATTTTTAAGACAAATGTGAATACCAATAGGAAAATTAGTAGAAGACTAAAATCAGGGGTCATATTTCTTGATGGTAGGCCAGCGAATTTTTTTTTTTTGAGTTGATGGTGCTACTCCTGACTCCTGGCTTGGAGCTGCTCCCAGAAATGCAAAGGGAACAGTCTGATGCTGGGGATTGAACCCTGGCCTCCGGAAAGGAAATCAAAGTATACTTTATAGACACGAATATGTGAGTGGTATGAGGGGCATACATGGATAGGCTTCAGTATATATGTCTATAATTTGAAAATTTACCAACAGTACCATAGTAATTGAATTCTCTTTCCAAGTTACTTACTTTTGAGTCAAAGTGGAAAATGAGTATCAGAACCATATGCATGGCATATTTGCATCAAATTGAAGTATTTTTTTCTGGATACAATCCAAGGAATAGAAGTAATTAGATATATGATTAATCAGTACCAACAATCAAGAAATAATCTTTTGCACTCTTTAAGATGAATTCAGAGCATTTACTTAAGTCTTTCGACTTCCTAGCAAGTATTTGAGTCACACCAACCCTGCCCAATGTCCCTTTTTCCTTGTTGGGAAGACATTTTTGAAATACAATGGACCACTAGAGCTGGAGAGATAGTTGAAAGGACTGGAGCTTATGCATGGCATGCAAGAGGCCCAGATTTGATCTCTGGCACCACCTGATACCTTGAGCACCATTTGAAGAAGCTCCCCAGTATTGACCTGGACATAATCAATGATCACTGTTTTTGAGCACTGTTGGGCGTACCCACATAATGATAATAAAATGGAACTCTGTCAGAAAACTCTGAGTTAGATTAGACCTATGTGGTTGCATTTTGTGCTATGACCGTTAGCTACATCCATCTTTATTCTTATGAGATGAAAGGCAACTGCCAGTAGGCTTTACCTCCTGAGTTGCTTGCTGGTCCATGCTTTCAGTGCTTTTCCTGTGTGATTTCCTTCAGCATCTTTCAGCCTTGCTCAGTAGGTTGTGGACACAGAGTGCTTGTGGATACTGGAGGTATAGGCAAATCTAAATGCCCCAATTAAGTGGTACAGTGGTCTTCTAGCCCCACGTTTGTTGTCTGTGAATTAAGCTCTTCCTGTTCCTGTGTTCTGTAGTAACAACCTTTGTCTCAAAACACCGCTACATATACAGTACTTATCAGGAGACTGTTACATAATAGTTAGAAAGTTCTGCCTACTTTTATATGTATATTAAACTGTAAGCCATCTTCAGATGGGGAGGGCCCATGTATATAGCATGCTGTGTGTTCTCCTGGGAAAAGCTATAAAATGAAATACAAGATTAATGGTTGATATTGTACAGTACCCATATTATGGTTTTCATTATTTATATAAAACAAGTAAAATGACCCCTGACAGAGACATTAATGATTCAGGTAAAATCAACTTTTTATAAGACGCTACTCAATCCCTGTGTGTATTCGAACAGATGCAGTCAAAATGCTTTGCCTTCATCCTTTTGATACAAAATGTTATGTATAGAATTTATAACAGATTGAGTGTAATTAACTGTATTGAAGACATTACTTATCTGATGCACAAATATTTTGAATTCAGGAGCTGATCTATTTTAGGTATCCCACATGATCACCCTCTGGCCCTTTTCCATAATTTGTAATGGTTGAAAACATTTAAAGAATCACATTCTGTGACATTTGGAATTATATCCAAATTTTAGTTATATTAGAATGCAGCTAGCCCCATTCACTTATGTGTTCTTTGTTTGGCTACTTCTGTGCCACAACGACCAGGTTTAGTTGGCAATAGATCCAATGACACATAGAGCATTAAATGGCCACTTAGAGAAAAAGTTTGCTGATCCCTAGCATACAGTAAAAGGTGGATCAGTGCTTGTGTATGTTTAATTGGTATAAGAAACACTTGCCTTTACCTTTTATAGTTTTTTAATTTGCTATCCCATTAATTGAAGATTCACTGTCCATTTTTCAGAAGTTGAAGAAAAACTGCCCTTTCAGTACCGTAAAATGGGATTTATAGGAGTAGGATTCCTTGACGTGCTTTTAATGCTTCCTTTATCTAGAAAAGTGCTGAAACTAATTGCTGTGTTTTAGAAATGGTTCATTAGTGTAGCCCCTATGTTTTATAGAGATCTAATTTTCATGCAGAATTTCCTTTGAAACTCTTAACTAGGGTCTTGTTAGGAAGAGGAAATAAGAAGAAGACAAGCACTTCCTTAAGATGAAAATAAGTTTGAGTTTTGATCACGACTACTCAGTATACTGATTGGCATCTTAACACTTTACGTTGACTTTAGCAGAGCAATTTTTTTTGTTGCACAAATGATTATTTTAGAAAACAAAACTGAAAAAAAGGGGGCTGCATAATTCATACTATCTGCTTTTAGTGAATTTGGATATTGTTTTTGAAAAGAAATTTCTGCTAGTGAAAGTCTCAGTTCTCATCATTGAAACCCAAGCACAAAAATTTGTAAGTCTACAACTCTATCTCATGGTGTTTCACTGATAAAAATTTTTAAAAAAGGAAAGTCTCAGTTCTATTATTTCTCTTTTCCAGGTTTCAATGAATTAGAAGATGTTTTTGAAATTTGGGGTTTGAGTTGATCGCTCCCTAAATTTTATGCTTTACTTCCTACCCCTCCCAACTTCCTCCCCACACCATTCTTCTCTTTCATACCGAGTGGTGCTTTGGAGTTGTTTCTGTCATGGTGGGGACCATGCAGGACCACTTTAACCTAGTGCTTCCACTTTCAAAGCACGTGCTCCACCCTTTGAAACATCTCTTGGCCAATTACTGGCATTGCTTTTTTCTTTGAGGTGGACCGAAGGAAATTTTATCATAGTGGGAGCCAAAGAAGCAGAAAAGTAAATCTCATTATCTAAAATTATTTGAGTACCTTGAGTAGAATTTTTACAGTGTTTTCCTGAGCACTGTTGTCAGATACAATTAATATTCTCCCCAATCCAAACTACCTTTCTGCTGTTATTGCCTTCATATTGGAAGAAACTGCAAATTTCATTTCTAGAGACCATATTTTCTAGTCATAGAATCTCCTTTATTATCTAGCTTTGCGTGAATATTTCCTACTTCATTGTCAACCTTGAATTTTGGGGTAGCCCCAGGAATCTCTGTTTAAAAGATGAAATATCTTAGTGCAGATAATTTTAAACATCAAGCAGATTTGGGAGACCCTGACTGAGAATAACTTCCTGTAATTCTCTCCTTTTCTTTTCTTTTTTTTTTTATCCCTGAAATGTATAAGAGGTTCTGAGAACCGTTTTGTGGAATGTTTATGATTTATAGTGAATTGATAAATTGAGAGTATCTGCAGCTCAGATATGCTAAATTATTCAAACTGGTGTTTTTGACTTATTTTTTAAACAGGTAAGAGAGGGGAAAATTCACCTCATTTGATCATAGACTTTATTAGAAGTCAAGTTTGATTTTGAAACTCACTTTTCCCCCTTCTGTTTTATTTAATGCAGTGGCCATCCTTCTGAAGGACGACTATTTTGTCAGTGGTGCTGGCCTGCCTGGCAGATTCAAAGCTGAGAAGGTGGAATTTCACTGGGGCTATAGCAATGGCTCTGTGGGGTCTGAACACAGCATCAATGGCCGGCGGTTTCCTGTGGAGGTGAGAGCAACTGGACATGTCCAAGTACAATGTGTTTTGAGTCTTGAATGAGATGCTTTGTCTTAATCCCCAGTCATTTTGCAAATCACAGTTGGACTTTTGTCTCTGGAAATGTTTTCTAAGCAGAATGTTGGGTGGCTATTCATTCTCGAATTGCCCATCTTCATTTAAGTGAGGAAGCATATAGAAGTCATGGACATCAATACAGTTCTACTAGACCCTGCCCTGGCTAATGGTTTTCAGAAGTTTGACAGCTTCTTTTCACTGCTCATTCTGAAATCTTGCTGTCTACAAGTGAAATTTGAGATGAAACTCTCAGAATTGACTTCCACTTTGTAGAAAAGAGAAAAAGTTAGTAACATATGAAAAAAGAGTCCCATAATGGCACTTTTCTCAGTAAGGAAGCAATACTAAAGTTTGTTTGGTCCTGGAAATTTTGAGAAAGAGACTTGAAATTGTTGTGAATGACTTGCTATGCATTTTGCTGTTGTGGAAGGTGCCATTTTGCCTTCCCTTATCAATTTTTGTAAAGATCCATAATGCTGGACAGAAAAAAAGTGAGAATAATAGGTCACCTTTATCTGGTGGAGGCAGGAGGAAAAAAGCCTTCTCTATTAATGTTGAGAGGGGCTAACACATCCCTTTTACTGCTAACCTTATTTTCTCCATTAAATCAGGATGCATTCGTACCAGTTGGTGGTACAAATAGGTTTCTTGGTTGGTTGATCATGGTGTGACTAGTCTTTTCACTGTGTGGAAGAACTAAATGGGTGTACAGTCAAACTTATGACTAGGGGCCAATCGTACAGTGGGTTGGGCGTTTGCCTTGCATGTGGCCGACCTGGGTTCTATCCCCAGCATCCCCTATCCCCCCGCCCCCCCAAGCACTGCCAGGAATAATTCCTGCGTTCAGAGCCAGGAGTAACCCCTGAGCATTGCTGGGTGTGATACCCTCTTCCCCCCCAAAAATGCAAACCTATGACTAGACTGAAACATGCGGTGGTTTTCGATAACGCCTGTTGTTTCATTGTGATCTCAGATGTAAACATGTGAGCCATGCACTTGTATCACAACCCTCTGGTATCCACGTGACCAAGACACATTACAGATCTTGATTTTTTTGTAACTTAAGTCATGATATATTTTGATAATCTGATGAATATATGTTATCCCCTTTTAATAGATGTATGTGTTTCTACACACAGATTTACATATAATTTATAAGGTTTCATGGCTTGCTTTAATTCTTGCAACCCCTTCACATACCCTCTAGCGTCCTTGAAACTTAGATTAAAAATTCCTCAAAGAGAAATTAATTACATATAATTTATTTGGTTTCATAGCTTGCCTTAATTCTTAAGGCAAAATATCCTTTTCTTTTAGCTGTTCATATTCACTTATGGATTTGTTTATTATCTATGATAGCTGGAAAAACCAGCAATAACCACTCTGAGAATGTGCTTCATACCAGTTTTATTTTTTCCTAGTTTATCTGATAAATTCCCAGTATCAATTCTGTCTCCTCTCAGTGGAACATCCTGCCCTGATGACTCTCATTATGTCTTAAAAGTGTGATTTTACTTAATGGACTCTCATTTCTTACTTATTGAATGAATCATTTCTTAGAAGTCTTAGTGTTTTTTGATTTTTCTGGGAAACTTGATTACTAGAAACAAAACTAAATTTTTATGATTTTGGTTTGGAGGTACTCAGGGCTTACCTCTGATTCTCTTCTCAGGGATCACTCAGGAATCACTCCTGGTGGTATTCACAGATCATATGCAGTGCCAAGGGATAATATCAGGGTTGACGGTGTGCCAGACAACTCCCTTTAGGCCCTGTACTATTGCTCTGTAATATCACCAATTTTTTGTTGTTTGTTTGGGATTTTTTTGTGGGTTTTTTTTGTTTGTTTGTTTTAGTGAATCACTGTGAGGTACAGTTACTTCACTTAGTCACTTAACTTCCCGTTAGTCATCGATTTGCTCGAGTGGGCGCCAGTAACGTCTCCATTTGTCCCTGTCACGTGCTAGTGTAGCCCAATGGCATCTGTTCGCTCTGGGAACATGAAGAGCCTCAAACCGATCGTTCATGATCTTGATGAAGAAGTCTGACCATCTGGTAGGTGGGCGGCCACGCGGTCTTTTGACATCCCGTGGAATCCAGTCGGTAACGGCTCTAGTCCAGCGGTCGTCTTTAAATCTCATACATTCAAAGCAAAGGTCCTACCTGCTGTGCTATTGCTCCAGCCCATAATATCTGAAAAAGAAGACCAACAATGCTAGGAAGTGGGAGCCTCTTTTTTCTCTTTTATTCTTTTATGCAGAAGCAGACAGCTCTGCTTCTCCCTTTATGTGACTCCAGGAAAGTGCAGAAATTCTGTGAATGTAATTTTGGAAGCTTATTTCTTTAAATGAATACTTAAAGGTGTTTTGTTGTTGTTGTTACCCAGAGAATGCTATTAAATCAGAATCTAATTAGAAATGGCACCTATCATGCCCAGACTTACTGTTTGACCAGTTTGTTTGAATTTCTTTTAAGTAATATCAGATGGTATGGTAGTTAGTATTAATTGGATTTCTCATTGAAGCCCATCTGGTTTATAGCTTGTTTTTTTGTTTTTAATGTGATAAACATGTTAAAATTACTTAGTGGATATATTTGGAAGGACTGACATTTCAGAGATCAAAGGTAACACAACTGAATTTCACTTTCAAATGTTCACAGAAAAGTTGTTCACTTATACCCATAACATGTCTGCAGTATTTTTGTTAAATTAGTTTAGTTGAGCTTTTGTGTTAGTAGCAGTTCTCCTAGAAATTTTCATTCTGTTTGAACTCCTCAGACTTTTTATTTTTTTCCACATCACTAAACTTTTTTCCAGAGACATTGAAGTGAAAATAAGAAAGTATAATTTATCAAAACTAGGGACATTGCTTTTGATGCGATCAGGGTGAATCAGAGAAGTGTTAGCACTGTAGCACTGCCCTCCAGTTGTTCATCGATTTGCTCGAGTGGACAGAAGTAACATCTCCATTGTTAAACTTGTTGTTACTGTTTTTGGCATATTGAATACAGGAGAGCTTGCCAGGCTCTCCCGTGTGGGCGGGATACTCTCAGTAGCTTGCTGGGCTCTCTGAGAGGGATGGAGGAATCAAACCTGGGTCGGCTGAGTGCAAGGCAAACACCCTACCCACTGTGCTATCGCTCCACCCTGAGAGAAGTGTTACTGTGGAAAACTCTGCTGGAATTGGTAGTATATAGTTTTGGTTCTCAACCCTAGATAGTCTTTTCCCTTGGGACAGTTGGCACTGTTTGGGACACTTGTGTTTGTTACTGTTTTTGGGCAGTGGTATCCGTCTAGAATCCAGAAGTGTATGGAGATATATCAGTGTATAAGTGTATGCTCAATATATCTTAATTCATGGAACAGTTCCCATATGAGGCCATTATCCCAAACAAGCTAACACTGCTATGTGACTAGAGTCGAGGAAGTGATTAGTTGTGTGACGTTTTTTATAATACATTTTGAATAACCAGTGCCTGAGAAATTCCATTTTTTCCGGCGGGGGGTGGGGGTTGGTTACACACGACTGTGCTCAGGACTTACTACTAGCTCTGAGCTTAGGAGACTGTGTGTGACGTCAGGAATAAAATTCAGGGCTGCTGCATGCAAGGCATTCTCTTGCATTCTGTACTGGCCGGTCTTCTCTGATGATTTTTCATGAGGAAATGTACATCACCTTACAGGTAACTGCATAACCTTACAGGTAACTGCATAACCTTACAGGTAACTGCATAACCTTACAGGTAACTGCATAGCTGATCCTGGTTCCTTAGATTCCACTTGAAAAAAATCACCACCCTGGTTTTTTTTTTTTCAGCAGCTGTCTTGTTCTGCAGCTACAGGATGAATTTTAAGCATATGTCCCACAAGAATCTAGATATGCTCCCAAGGGTGTCAATGGCAAGTCAACTGTGGAGGTTTTGCTTCTTTCTGGGAATTCTTCGAAAACAACTTCGTTGTAGATGTTGGAAGTCCAGAAAATAGACTTCTCCTCATTTTCCTGGCTGAAATCCTGGACTTAAAAAAATTTCCCAAATAGAAAAAGAAAGGTCTTTGTACAACAAAATATGCCCTTTCATGGCCAACACTCATTATAGTTCAGTTACATTTAGAAAAGAAAATCAGAGTTCAGGTTACAGTTCCATATGTGGCAGATGAGACCCAAAGTAGTAGATCTCTGCTGCCCTCATCTTCTTCTGCTCAACTTTACTCCTTCCTCAGGGCACTTTTTTTTTTTTTTAGTGCCCCCTGGTATGAGTGCACTGGGTTGTAAAGGTGAAGAAAGAAACGTAGTTCTTACCCTACTGGTATTTATACTGTAGTGGTGACAGACATTGAAGAAGCAATCGTACAGATAGCCATGTGATTTCTGTTCTGATTCAGTCTCTTTAAGAGAAGAATGTTTTGTTACGAGATGAACAGAGGGCCTCTCTAGAGATAACAATATTTTTTAAGGTAGAATAAGTAAGGGGCCAAAGAGATAATACAGCGGGTGTAGGGTGTTTGCCTTTCAAGTAGCTGATCCGGGTTCAATCACTGACACAATATATTGTACCCTGAGCACTACCAGGAGTGATCTCTTCGAGCAAAGTTAGGAGTAAGCCCTGAGCAATGCTGTGAGCAGCCCCAAACAAACAAAATGAAGATATAAAAGGTAATTTTCAAAGTCCAATTGGGATTAAAAGGTGCAGGTCGGATTTAAAAGGTCGTTGCCAGTATTAATGGAATTACTTAAGGACTAGAGGTGAGGAGCAGCTTTGGTTGACATGATAATAACTTAACCTTCCCCAGCTGCAAGTCACAAAAAGTCCCTGAAACTTGTGAGCAGATTGCTTCATGTGGTGAAAGGAACTTTGCAGGTAAATTAAGTATCTTTAAAATCAAAGGGCTTAGAATATTCAGTGATTAAAACAGTCGTGGTAATGTCCTCTTC